TCTGGAGAGTGATGTAGTGGTGGCAGGATCCATACATAGCTTTAAGAGAATCGATAAAGCTCTTGGAGCAGAGAGAGAGTTGACCTAATAGCGAAAAGCAAAGGGGCGGAGCCAGGAGCTGTGACATGAGCTATCACTCGACCCCTGCAACCACAATTAGATGAATTAGGTGGGTACATACGTCACCACTGGTTAAGATATACAAGTGACTGGATTCGGGACAGTTGCCACAGATCTAAAAGACAGTGAATATAACTCCCTAAATTTAAGAAAGGAGACAGACAGGAGGCATTGAACTACAGGAGGCACTGAACTACAGGAGGAACTGAACAAGGCAGTGAACTACATGAGGCACTGAATTACAGGAGGAACTGAACTACACGAGGCACTAAACTACACGAGGCACTAAACTACACGAGGCACTGAACTACACGAGGCACTGAACAACACGAGGCACTGAACAACACGAGGCACTGAACAACTACACGAGGCACTGAACAACACGAGGCACGTAAATGGACGAGGCACTGAACTACACGAGGCACTGAACTACACGAGACACTGAACAACACGAGGCACTGAACTACACGAGACACTGAACTACACGAGGCACTGAACTACACGAGACACTGAACTACACGAAGCACTGAACTACACGAGACACTGAACTACACGAGACACTGAACTACACGAGGCACTGAACTACACGAGGCACTGAACTACACGAGGCACTGAACTACACGAGGCACTGAACTACACGAGACACTGAACTACACGAGACACTGAACTACACGAGAAACTGAACTACACGAGACACTGAACCACACGAGGCACTGAACTACACGAGACACTGAACTACACGAGACACTGAACTACACGAGGCACTGAACTACACGAGGCACTGAACTACACGAGGCACTGAACTACACGAGACACTGAACTACACGAGGCACTGAACTACACGAGGCACTGAACTACAGAGGTAACGAAAACAGAAGATATTACATCCGTATACTGTCAAGAAAAAAATAGGACCAGACGGATTAGCACCACAGGCTTTAAAAGAATGAGCAGAAGAATTATAACTACACTGGATTTGTTTTAGAGTTTTACTACGAGAGGGTGAACTGAGAGACAAATGGAAGATGGCACTAAATGTGCCATAGAATTCGGAGGGTAGAGATGAGAAGATGGTGTGAAGTTTCTATGTATGTGCATGTGTGTTTATGTATACATATGTACTGAAGTATTGAACGCTCTGAATATATAATATGTAGAGCAGTATGTGTGGATACGTAGTATGTTACGTAGGACCTGGTGTTTACATAGTGGAGATCTGTGTTGTCTGGACTCTGAGTGATTGTGTCAATATCAGATATTTGTAGGATTATGCTTTGCGATGATTCTCTGTTGTAGACTCCCAAGTAGGTATACCAGAGGTGAGGATAAGAGCAGAATTACCGAGTAGTAGAGAGTAGGTAATGTTGGTCGTGGTGCATTGTAACGTATTGAGTCTGAAAGAATGCCAGCTATGCACTAGATATGTGTTGAATGTGTTAAATTTAAGTTGACTGTCAAGGTGAATACCCAAGAATTTTCCCTCGTCTTTCACTGTGTGCATTATTGATTTTAACATTCAGTCGAACATTATTAACAGTATTCCCAAACATCGTATAGTATATCTCATCAAATTTTTTTTATTCAAAGTGGTAGTTCAATGGAATTAATTAAAAAAGAAAGTAATAAGCGTTACAGCCATTGTCTATACTTGGAGTATACCTTTTATTTTCAACATGATATAATGTTTGTAGAGAGATGGTAACACTTAGTTGTTTAGGCAGGAAACCCATAGTTATGTAGAACATTGCGGGCAAGCTTAAATAACATCACGAGCATAGCTCTGCTCCTGTAGCTACAAATAGGTAAATACAGAAATAGAGGAAGCCTGAGCAGTGTATGAATGGGGAAGGTAGAGACTGGGTTAACTTGCTCACCGGAAGTCTCTCTCCCTCTCTCTCTCTTTCTCAACATGCTTATTTGGCTTCTGCATCTTTTTTCTCTTTCTCTCGCTAAGAAAATAACTTCAGGTAAATATTATGTGTAGGAGAAGGCGTTAAATCCGTAGGGGTCATACGTTGCCTGAGAAATGGCGTTTTCTTGCTATTTCGGAAGTAAAATGTATGGAACGCAGGCGGGAGAGATACATGATTATATACACCTGGAAAATCCTAGAGGGACTAGTACCGAACTTGCACACGAAAATCACTCACTACGAAAGCAAAAGACTTGGCAGACGATGCAACATCCCCCCAATGAAAAGCAGGGGTGTCACTAGCACGTTAAGAGACCATACAATAAGTGTCAGGGGCCCGAGACTGTTCAACTGCCTCCCAGCATACATAAGGGGGATTACCAACAGACCCCTGGCTGTCTTCAAGCTGGCACTGGACAAGCACCTAAAGTCGGTTCCTGACCAGCCGGGTTGTGGCTCGTACGTTGGTTTGCGTGCAACCAGCAGTAACAGCCTGGTTGATCAGGCTCTGATCCACCAGGAGGCCTGGTCACAGACCGGGCCGCGGGGGCGTTGACCCCCGGAACTCTCTCCAGGTAAACTCCAGGTATGGAGGAAAAATAATGCCTTTTGTACAAATGTCATATATGAATTTGATTCAATCTGAATCAGGGAGGGAATCACTAAATCCGTAGGGGTTATATAACGCCTGGGGGAATGGGACGCAATGAGATTGGATCCCAGAAAATATTCTTATCACGAGAAAAGAAGAAAAGAATGACGAATAATGTGGAATTTAATGAAAAAAAATAATGCAGAATGCTCATGGTCATTCTCAATAAAAGAAATTTTAAAATAATCCAGCCATTCAGGACTGTTTTATAGTTTCTGTTCGAAAGTGAGGGTTAGTTGTGAATTGTGTCAGCCAGGGTATTGTGGGTTAGTTGTGAATTGTGTCAGCCAGGGTATTGTGGGTTAGTTGCGAATTGTGCCAGCCAGGGTGTTGTGGGTTAGTTGTGAATTGTGTCAGCCAGGGTGTTGTGGGTTAGTTGTGAATTGTGTCAGCCAGGGTATTGTGGGTTAGTTGCGAATTGTGCCAGCCAGGGTGTTGTGGGTTAATTGTGAATTGTGTCAGCCAGGGTGTTGTGGGTTAGTTGTGAATTGTGTCAGCCAGGGTGTTGTGGATCAGTTGTGAATTGTGTCAGCCAGGGTGTTGTGGGTTAATTGTGAATTGTGTCAGCCAGGGTGTTGTGGGTCAGTTGCGAATTGTGTCAGCTAGGGTGTTGTGGGTTAATTGTGAATTGTGTCAGCCAGGGTGTTGTGGGTCAGTTGTGAATTGTGTCAGCCATGGTGTTGTGGGTTAGTTGTGAATTGTGTCAGCCAGGGTGTTGTGGGTCAGTTGTGAATTGTGTCAGCCAGGGTGTTGTGGGTTAGTTGTGAATTGTGTCAGCCAGGCTGTTGTGGGTTAATTGTGAATTGTGTCAGCCAGGCTGTTGTGGGTTAATTGTGAATTGTGTCAGCCAGGGTACTGTGGGTTAGTTGTGAATTGTATTAGCCAGGGTATTGTGGATTAGTTGTGAATTGTGTCAGCCAGGGTACTGTGGGTTAGTTGTGAATTGTATCAGCCAGGGTATTGTGGGTTAGTTATGAATTGTGTCAGCCAGGGTATTGTGGGTTAGTTGTGAATTGTGTCAGCCAGGGTATTGTGGGTTAGTTGTACATAGTAATAATATTGGTAGAATTACCGACAATGTGTTAATTAAAAGGACACAATTACAACTAATGTGACATTTTTACTGTGGCAACGTTTCGCTCTCCAGGATCTTTGTCAAGCAGTTACAAGCAATACAGGGACACAGAGGGTATGTGTATACATACCCTCTGTGTCCCTGTATTGTTTGTAACTACTTGACAAAGATCCTGGAGAGCGAAATGTTGCTTCAGTAAAAAATTCGCATTAGTTACACCTGTCATTTTAGCTAGTAGTAAATTATTTCAGGTACTGTTTTTTAGCTGGAACAATTTACAAATAGTTCATGAACCTTCACCCCAGGTAAACTCCAGGTAGTAATAGTTGACCAAGGTTTTAAGTTGAAGCCGATTGAATAAGGTGTTCTGAAGTTTTAAACGAAAACAAGCGAGAAAACTGTAGCTAACACTACAACATTTAATAATAATAATAATAATAATAATAATAATAATAATAATAATTATTTCTACAAGTACATGTACAAGGTATACAGACCATAGCTGACATCATTAATATATTGTATATGAAGCTGCTTGTTATGCAGAGCGTTTCGTCCAAATTAGGGTATTTTTTCCCCAGGATGCGACCCACACCAGTCGACTAACACCCAGGTACTTATTTTACTGATTGGTGAACAGTGACAGCAGGTGTCTTAAGGAAACACGTCCAAATGTTTTCACACTGACACATTAAGTGTCAGGGGCCCAAGACTGCTCAACTGCCTCCCAGCATACATAATGGGGATTACCAATAGACCCCTGGCTGTCTTCAAGAGGGAGCTGGACAGGCACCTAACGTCAGTACCTGACCAGCCGGGATGTGGCTTGTACGTTGATTTACGTGTGGGCAGCAGTAACAGCTTGGTGGATCAGACACTGCTCCACCGCGAGACCTGGTCATGGACCGAGCCGAGGGGGGCATTGACCCCCCCAAAACACCCTCTACGTACCGGGGATCGAACCACGGACCTCAGTGTGTGAGCTGAGTGCCCTACTAACCTACAGAGTGACTTAGTGACTTCCATTGGGATGCTGAGAATGTGCTCAGTAACCTTGGTCACTAGGCACCTGCACTTGCCAATTGTTCCTAGAATCTAGTCATTGTTACCATATACAAGCGTTCAATATTTAAATCCGCTAAGATGATGAATTCTCGAGTTCTGAGAGAAATTAAATCGAAACACGAACAAGCGTACAAGCAGAGACAGACTAGTTGACTCGCGTGTTGTTCAACATAACTAACAAGGAAGCTTATTGAAGTGGAGAGAGCCTAGGTTGTTGCTGTTCACGGTATCCTAGCTTGTTCGAGGCAGACTTAATCACAGTGTCCACAACTGGTTCAGACATATGAGAGTTGCAGGATTATGGGCTACCCTAGGTACTTTACACATATGTTACTGTGTATGATAATTGTACCAATGTGTACCTGTACCTAAATAAACTTAACTTATTACTTAGCTGATCCTACCCCACTCCTTTGATGTATGAACACTTAATTCACGTACCACCACCTGACCTCACCATATCTGATCCCGCATGATATATTTTCCCTCTATTCACTATATATTTTGTATTTATTAAGTTTGTCGGTGTTACACCTAATATTTGTACTATGAGGCGACTTGTCCACACCTGATTGGTAGCAGGGTTAAATCCCACTTATTATTTGGCTCTGTTGGCGTAGCCTAGGGTCGTGTGTACATAATTTACTATATGAAACTACTGCAAAGGTTTACAGATTATGAGACTTAAATAAACATTACTTCGTTAGTTACATTTGCCGCCATAAAGTTACATTTAAACCTCCCGGGCAACATTTGTTTGCGAGGTGTCATGATGCCAACCTGGTAAAATTAACTCTCTGGAAATTAAATAAATGTAATACTCTTTATAAAAGGCATTCAACTGTATATAGAAGCTACTGAGCTACTAAGGTAAATCTTTTCCTCATTTGCTAGGGAATTGCACATGAATTTCATCGTGTAATCGAATTTCAACGAAATGATAATACGAATTATTGGAACGGCGCTCATATGATCATTACAATGGCAGAGGAGCGAACCCCGCTCATCGGAGGTGGCCAAAATGTGCTGGGACAAGCTTCCTACGGGGGATCCGTGTCTCCTACAAGCCAGGGTAAGTAGTTTGATCCCGTGGTGTGCCTCCAGAGTGACATCTCGCTAAATATTTCCAGTTACAGAGGAGGAAATGAGGAAGTAAGCTGGTTGACACCTCCACTCTGGCCGCTGTGATCATCTTGACAACAAGATATTCCATGACGTCTACACACCCCTTTTTCAGAGCACACCTGTGATTCCTGCCATCACGGCCGTCTGCAGCCTCCAGGAGCTCCAGTGCGAGGAATAGTGCCATGATATGATGACTAGAGGAGTAATGGGAGGGTGTATCGGGTGGGGGAGTCACCTGAGTGATGGTACATCTGTCACATGATCTTTGTAACTCAATACATTTTTCTCTGTTAATCACTTTATTGCTACTCTGACTTACCTATCAGAATGTAGGCACCTATATTATGTACCAATTATGTACCCTTAACTTTCAGGCTACCACCCATAAAACAAGTATGGGTACGTTAATAAAATAATTCTTTATTGATCAGCGTTACAATGGTTAGTTATATTTCATGTGGTTAGTTTTTTTTTATAATATAAACACACTGATGTGAGTATATGTTAAACTTAAAGCCATTTATATGAAGACATCCCACTGGAAATGTCACACCCAAGAGCCACTCTCCTTTGTACAAACATTGTATCATGCTGAGATAAACGTTATTATTACTCTGACTGTTTTTTAGGGTTATCCTAGGTAATTTACACTGATAATTGTACTTGGGTGTACCTGAGCCTTAATAAACTTGAGTAACATTTGGGTCAAACTCAGTCTAAAACTTATTTTTAGCTTCATAATTGGGCAAAGAATGGATGACAGGCATGCTGAGTGCACATATACCTAGACTATCGGTCAATGTACTCTATATTATCTAAGTGACACGTAGGGATACCCAGTAGGATTACCTCCCATCCTTGGTTAAATCTAAATAATGCACTGTTGTATATGTAGTGCTTGTGGCTCACATCTGAAAGACCTGGGTTCAGTTCCAACACAAGTGGTACTGTTATGCTTGTTTCCTCGGTTAACCTAAGAGTAAGATAAGATTTGTTGGGGTTTTCAACATGGAGGGTTAGCCCCTAGGATAACCCAAGAAAGTCTGTCATCAAGGACTGTCTTTCTTATTGCTATTGTGGTCCTTCAGTCTTGTTTCCCCCACTTCCCCAGGATAGCACCCATAACAGTTGACTAATGCCCAGGTACCTACTTATTACTAGGTAAACCGGGACAGCAGGTGTTAGGAGACTAACGCATTGAGGTCCGTGGTTCGATCCCTGGTATGAGCAGAAACGTTGGGGTGTGTTTCCTTGGGACACCTGCTGACCTGTTCACCTAGCAGTAAATAGGTACCTGGGTGTTAGCCAACTGGTGTGGGTTGCATCCGGAAGGCAAAATTAGCCTAATTTGGCTGAACTGCTCTGCCTGACAAGGGGAGCTTTCTAAATAGTATGTCATTTATGTCAGCTAGATTTGTATAAGTTGTATCATGTCCTTGTAGATATAAAAAATTTCATCATTTATTATTTACTGCTAAGTGAATATGGACAGCAGATGTAAGGTAACATTACCAATGTTTCCACTCAACCAGGGATTGAACCATGGACACTCAGTATGCGAGGCAAGTTCATTGCCAATCAAGTCTACCAACTGTTGTGCGTTGCATATTAGGGGAAGAGAAAAAATCAATAGCATTAAGTCGTTATGGATATATTAGGTTATTGTGGGTTACTCTCTCGCTGGGTTAATAATTCAAATAGAAATAAATGCTCATAGCATCTGTGCGCTCTTTAAACCTTTGTAAAAAATTTTGTATGCTGAAAATTTTATTTATATTATCCCAGAGAATTAATTACCCAGGATAACCCAGTATAGCTGCCCTGGCTTATTTCCATTGGAATCCTTTGATCCTCTTCACCAGGATATAACCCATTATAGTTGTCTGACACCCAGGTAATCTACTTATTGCCAGGTGTAACCAGAGGGGACAGTGTCCAGGATACCTTTGTCAGTTTTGTCAAGGTTAGACACTAAAGTAAACATGGTACTAGGTGAGAATACAATTTGTAGCACCTTCATTAGATAGCCAGGCTTTAAACACCAGCTACACAGCAGTAATAGTGAAATGGACTGCCTGACCATGTCGAGATCAATTTCATTATAAGATAGTTTAGGAAAACTAAAAAAAGAAGTACCCAATGGGTAAAGCCTCAGAAAATGAGAAATGGGATTTTTTTTATAGTTAATGTTCATGCAGCTGTTACATTCAACTGATTTTGTTTTTCTTTCTGATGCTCATGTAATTCTTTTTCACATAAAAACAAAAGATATACAGTTTCCAGTGTATATGCAGTAAAACATATACATACTGTACACAGTAACAAAATTCAAATTATTAGAATTGCCATTTGTACATAAGAAATGCTATAAACAGTAATAATATACTGCGTAAAAATAGACTAGACTAAAAATTTCAGATGTCTTGATGAAAACTTGCTAGGTGAACTGTGCACTCACACTGATGCACAGTTTAGAGGGTATACTACTAAGGGCTCAGTAAAAATAAGCCTCTGGGGGTTAATTACAATAATTCTTTTATGTAGGTACATAAAAATGATATAGTGAGTGTCTAGGATAATCCAGTGTTACAAAAAAAAAAAGTTGTATTTTCAGTATTTCCATTGGTATCCTTAAAATTAAATTCTCACTTTTTTGTAACTTTGCTTTATCAAAATTTTATCACTTTTCAGTTATAGTACTGAACATTTTGAAGAGTTGAGATAATCATAGTGTATTTGCTATAGTGTTTTGGTGCTTGGAGCCAGTCAAAATATTCATATGAATCATAGGATATGAAGCAGACTATTGGGAGGCTGTGTTGTGGCTAATGGAGAGTAACTGTATGTGTGTGTGGGGGGGGGAAGGGGGGAAAGTTATATTAAAATAAAGCTATGTGCTATTCCTTCCATATGCAACATTAATATGTAGTCATAATAAATACATGCAAATATTTTGTTTTATAATTCATAAGATGGATTTATTAGTAGTACATACAATATTACAAATAAAAAATAATTTTATTTAAAAATAACGTGTGCATAGCAAAGTTTGGGCATAATATAGTACGTATTTTTTTTTTTTTTTTTTTTACGAAGTCCATATTATGCTCAGCATTGCAGTAAGTGTTTGAATGAGCAAAATAAAAATTCTAGGTAAAGGAAAAAACAGTAGTATGTAACTGGTACATGTATACAGGAGGGCCCCGCTTTACGGCGTTTCACTTTACGGCGTTCCGCTAATACGGTCATTTCAAATTATGACCAAAACTCGCTATACGGCTCCCCCCACCTGACTTTCTAATACGGTCACCACGCCCCACCTTGTCTGTTTACATTCTTCGTGAGCTCAGTAAACGCTAAGTCTCTCCATTTTGTCTGGAAACTCCAAAATTTCAAATGTTTTTAAAAGTTATTTCATATTTTATATATACATGTACTCTGATAATTATACTTATGTATATCTGTACTTAAATAAACTTACATACTGTGCTGGCATGCAGGTACACATTAAAATCAGTAAGAGTCACATTTTCATTAATCCATCTATGATATTTTTTCAAAATTATATAATAAACACGATACATAACATAAAAAAGATGATAAATACACCCCACAATAGAATAAATAAACATAAATATGAGATGTGGTAGCCAGATAACTTGTACAAGTGACGCCAAGAATAACATTTTCTCTAATCTAACATAAGAGGAAATGTGTTACTGGGGGTAACTGTAGAAAATTATTCCTTTCGTATGTAAGTAAGTTTATTCAGGTATACACAAATACAGTTACATAGATTATCATGCATAACAACATATGTGTAGAGAACCTAGGATAACCCAAAAAAGTCAGTGACTTATTTCCATTGCCTTCACTCAGAGCATAATTTCTTCTCAAAATGATGTTACATGAGAATGGGAGTGTTCTTCTTTATTTATTCTACCGTATCAATGTAGAGACAACCTGTACACAATGTAACTTGTACACAAACCAGACATGTACACTTTGTTTACAAAACTTACCTTCGCCTGGTTTGTTTACATAACTCTGCACCTGTACTCGCTCATGCACTCATTCTTTCTCTCTCTCATTTATTCGTTTTATCTCATTTACTTACTCCTGACCCTACATTAAGACTTCAAATATTTTAAGGTAAGTAATGAGTGAACTGTATATACATTTTATCGCTCTGGGATGCTTAAATATCATAGAATCGTATGTGTGGGTGGGGTGGCCTGGTATGGTAGCCTGGCTGACTACCATACATACCACACTTGATTTCTTACAATAAATACTACTTGTCTTACCCTAGATTAAGACTATAAATATTTTAAGGTAAGTAATGAGTGCACTATGTGTGTATTGTACTTTTTTATTGTTTTTTGATGCCTGGTTCTATTGCTAACTTAATATATGTTAGTGTAAACTTGTTATCTAGTGTTTGTATGCATTTGTAAGTGGAAAAAAAGGGTGTTCCTCTTTAAGGCGGTTTCCGCTTTACGGCGGTAGCCTGGAACCTAACCAGCCGTATAAGTGGGGCCCTCCTGTACTGCCAAAAAAAAAAAAAATGGTAATACACATAATCTGCACATAGCTTAAAACGATGTTATGGTCCAATTTGCGGGTTATTTGGGTATTGTTCCAGTCACGGTATTATGCCTTTTTGTTTTTAAAAATGGTAATCATGAACTATAGTACAGCACTGTAGGGAGTCGTATAAAAAAAAAATTACATGCTGGGTTAGTGAATAATGTGGCTTCAAAAACACTGCTGTACAATGAACTCTAACGGATTTATAAGGGGAAGGGGGGGGGTATGATATTGTAAGTTGTTTGAAACTTAGGTGTTATGGAAAAAAATTTTCACGATTGTAACAAAAATTTTGAGTGGAAGACAAACGGACACCTGTAGTACTAGAGTAAAATATTTTGTTGTCTAGTAATTTTATAGTATACTTTATGTAATTTACATTAATTTTGCTTTTGTAGTGGAGACACGAGGTGTAAACTGCCATGATTGATAGTGGTGACTATTATTACAAGTTTGACTAGTGGGGTTGATCATGGACTGGGCCGCGGGGGCATTGACCCTCGAAAACACCCTCCAGGTATACACTAAATTTAAGAGCACAGTCTGTAAGCTTATCCTTGCTTCTACAGATACCTGGAGTTACCTGGAAAGAGTTCCGGGGGTCAACGCCCCCGTGGCCTGGTCTGTGACCAGGCCTCCTGGTGGATCAGAGCCTGATCAACCAGGCTGTTGCTGCTGGCTGCATGCAAACCAACGTACGAGCCACAGCCCGGCTGGTCAGGAACCGACTTTAGGTGCTTGTCCAGTGCCAGCTTGCAGACTGCCAGGGGTCTGTTGGTAATCCCCCTTATGTATGCTGGGAGACAGTTGAACTGTCTCGGGCCCCTGGCACTTATTGTATGGTCTCTTAACGTGCTAATGACACCCCTGCTTTTCATTGGGGGGATGTTGCATCGTCTGCCAAGTCTTTTGCTTTCGTAGCGAGTGATTTTCGTGTGCAAGTTCGGTACTAGTCCCTCTAGGATTTTCCAGGTGTATATAATCATGTATCTCTCCTGCCTGCGTTCCAGGGAATACAGGTTTAGGAACCTCAAGCGCTCCCAGTAATTGAGGTGTTTTATCTCCGTTATGCGCGCCGTGAAGGTTCTCTGTACATTTCTAGGTCAGCAATTTCACCTGCCTTGAAAGGTGCTGTTAGTGTGCAGCAATATTCCAGCCTAGATAGAACAAGTGACCTGAAGAGTGTCATCATGGGCTTGGCCTCCCTAGTTTTGAAGGTTCTCATTATCCATCCTGTCATTTTTCTAGCAGATGCGATTGATACAATGTTATGGTCCTTGAAGGTGAGATCCTCCAACATGATCACTCCCAGGTCTTTGACGTTGGTGTTTCTCTCTATTTTGTGGCCAGAATTTGTTTTGTACTCTGATGAAGATTTAATTTCCTCGTGTTTACCATATCTGAGTAATTGAAATTTCTCATCGTTGAACTTCATATTGTTTTCTGCAGCCCACTGAAAGATTTGGTTGATGTCCGCCTGGAGCCTTGCAGTGTCTGCAATGGAAGACACTGTCATGCAGATTTGGGTGTCATCTGCAAAGGAAGACACTGTGCTGTGGCTGACATCCTTGTCTATGTCGGATATGAGGATGAGGAACAAGATGGGAGCGAGTACTGTGCCTTGTGGAACAGAGCTTTTCACCGTAGCTGCCTAGGACTTTACTCTGTTGACGACTACTCTGTGTTCTGTTAGCGAGGAAATTATAGATCCATCGACCGACTTTTCCTGTTATTCCTTTAGCACGCATTTTGTGCGCTGTTACGCCATGGTCACACTTGTCGAAGGCTTTTGCAAAGTCTGTATATATTACATCTGCATTCTTTTTGTCTTCTAGTGCATTTAGGACCTTGTCGTAGTGATCCGATAGTTGAGACAGACAGGAGCAACCTGTTCTAAACCCATGTTGCCCTGGGATGTGTAACTGATGGGTTTCTAGATGGGTGGTGATCTTGCTTCTTAGGACCCTTTCAAAGATTATGATATGTGATGTTAGTGCTATCGGTCTGTAGTTCTTTGCTGTTGCTTTACTGCCCCCTTTGTGGAGTGGGGCTGTCTGTTGTTTTTAGTAACTGTGGGATGACCCCCGTGTCCATGCTCCCTCTCCATAGGATGGAAAAGGCTCGTGATAGGGGCTTCTTGCAGTTCTTGATGAACACGGAGTTCCATGAGTCTGGCCCTGGGGCAGAGTGCATGGGCATGTCATTTATCGCCTGTTCGAAGTCATTTGGCGTCAGGATAACATCGGATAGGCTTGTGTTAACCAAATTTTGCGGCTCTCATAAAAAATTCATTTTGATCTTCGACTCTGTCTGGTTAGCGGCTTGCTAAAAACTGAGTCATATTGGGACTTGAGTAGCTCACTCATTTCCTTGCTGTCATCTGTGTAGGACCCATCTTGTTTAAGTAGTACTGGACGTTGTTCTCAACTTTGATTTGGCATAGGAGAAGAAATACTTTGGGTTTCTTTCGATTTCATTTATGGCTTTTAGTTCTTCCCGCGATTCCTGACTCCTATAAGATTCCTTTAGCTTAAGTTCGATGCTTGCTATTTCTCTGACCAGTGTCTCCCTACGCATTTCAGATATATTGGCCTCTTTTAGCCGCTCTGTTATTCTTTTCCGTCGCCTGTAAAGGGAGCGCCTGTCTCTTTCTATTTTACATCTACTACTCGTTTTTCTTAGAGGAATAAGCCTTGTGCATACATCGAGTGCCACCAAGTTAATCTGTTCTAGGCATAAGTTGGGGTCTGTGTTGCTTAGTATATCTTCCCAGCTTATATCGGTTAGGACTTGGTTTACTTGGTCCCACTTTGTTTTTGTTATTGAAGTTGAATTTGGTGAATGCTCCCTCATGACTAGTCTCATTATGTCAGTCTGGGACTCCACGCATACATGTCTGAACCTCAATTATGTTGTGATCTGAGTATATTGTTTTTGATATGGTGACATTTTGCTGGTTTAAATTGAATTTTGTGCAGAGATTTAAAAGCTCGTGTGAGTGTGAGTTTTCATCAGAGCTGCCTCCTGGTGTTATTACTGCAACAATATTATTTGCTATATTCCTCCATTTTAGGTGCCTTAAGTTGAAATCCCCCAGGAGCAAGATGTTGGGTGCAGGAGCTGGAAGATTTTCCAGACAGTGGTCAATTTTTAACAGCTGTTCCTGGAATTGCTGGCTTGTAGACTACCACAATGACTAGGTTTTGGTTCTCGACCTTTACTGCTAAAACTTCCACTACATCATTTGAGGCATTAAGCAGTTCCGTGCAAACAAGTGACTCTGCAATGTACAGGCCAACCCCCCCCTTTTGCCTGTTCACTCTGTCACATCTGTATAGGTTGTAACCTGGGATCTATATTTCGTTGTCCAAGTGATCCTTTACGTGGGTCTCAGTGAAAGCCGCGAACATTGCCTTTGCCTCTGCAAGCAGTCCACGGATGAAAGGTATTTTGTTGTTTGTTGCTGGCTTTAGACCCTGTATATTTGCAAAGAAGAATGTCATTGGACTGGTGGTATTGTTGGTACTGGGGGATATTTTTTTTCTGGCATTAGTATCTGTATCTGTTGGTTTGGAGTGGAGGCCATCGACTGTGGTTCCACTCCAGGAATGACTGGATTTGGTGTACGATTTCTGCCATTTCCTGCCAGTTTTTTTCTTTCCTGGCACTAAAAAACCTCTCTTGAGTGGCTGTGGCTACCCAGGTTTTCCCATGGCCTGGATGTTTTGTATCTTTTTGTCCCCTTTAGATGGTGTGCCTGGCAATTTAAGTTATAGCACAGTCTTTCCTGTACTGAAGAGGTACACATTTCAGGGTGAAAAAGCTTACAGGAAGGGAGTTTGCATTTTCCTGTTGTCATATGGGCATGGCATTTTCTAGGGTGGTCATAGTTGCACGTCACGTCTGTTTTTCCAGATTTCCCATGTCTGCAGATACCAAGTGCATAGTATGTGCACAGGCTTGGTTTCCGTTTGCCTTGGTTTCTGTGACTGTATTCCCTGTTGGTGCATGTTTCCCTGTCTTATTCCTATCCTCCCTAGCACCAACAATGGAGCTCCCACCAGTTGTTTTTGGTAATATATCCTCATTATTGCTAGTGGAGTCCTCTTGTTTGCTATTTCCTGTGGTATTTCTAGTTTGCAATATTGGTTTTATCTTATCTTTGACTACACTTGTTTCCCCACTACGGCTCCTGTCCCCTATGAGGTCATTTATATGTATTCCTTCCTGCGTATAATTCCCGACTACCTGGGCAAAATCTCCAGCTTCACCATTACTGTCTCCCAGGACAGCACCTCCAGCTTCACCATTACTGTCTCCCAGGACAGCACCTCCAGCTTCACCATTACTGTCTCCCAGGGCAGCACTATCAGCCCCACATCAGACACTTTCTTAACATTGTCCCCTCACATACCCATGTCACAAAGTTGCCAGACTCTACCTTCTTTTTGTTTCTGCTTAACACTGAGAGCCACACTATTCCTTTCGATACCTTCACTTGCTTGAGAAGCCATTATACAATACAGTACCATTTTTATTTCTTTACAAGTTTACATTGAGATTCTGTAGTTACAATAATGAGTTGCAGTGCAGAGAGAGCCAGTATCATGCCATGGCATTATGGACAGACTTAATTAATGGCTTACTGACTACTTAATATGTACTAGAGAAATTGATCATAGTTTGTTTAAGCAGACAGTAAGTTAGTTAAGTTTTACAATCAAGTTATAATTTGGGGTTATTACATTGCGACAATTTGAAAGTATTTTGTAGGTTGTGTATATCAAATAGTAAATATTTAAGTTATATTATTGAACATAATATTCTTAATTGCATTTTATATAATATGTTAATGAAGTCACATTAAACACTAAAACAAGGTAAAATTGGAGACTGAAAAATGTGTGCATGACTGAGCACAAACAGTAAACTGGCATGGGTGGTCTGTGGCTCAGGGAACAATGAAAACAGACAGGTTGTGAATGTGGTTGCTCTGGCCCATACCAGATTAACAGTGGAGTCATCGGAAGACAACCTGTCAATATTACTCCAAGTGGGTTTAGTGCTTCTATTTGATTATAATAATAATGACACTATTACTACAAACAAAATTCGGAGCCACAGACTTGTTTCCATTTTGTCCGGTGCTTCCAGTGTTTTATCCACATTTGTTGAAATCCATTAAATGGAGGCCCATTAATTAGAGGTTTACTGTAGTATGTATATAAATTTTGCAAAGGTGATGGATTAGTTCAGTTTTTATATTTTGAAGGAATTTTTATTCATTTATGATTGATTGATCTTGGTTTACTTTCTCATAGGAACAGGTGAAGGAACATTGGTGTCCCCAGTTGGTCCAGATGAATTACCTCCACCATACACTCCATCATCCAATGGTGTGCCCATGGTCACCTGCCGAGTATGTCAGGCCATGATTGACATCTCTGGCAAAGTAGATCAACACGTTGTGAAGTGCAACCAGTGTAATGAAGCAACGGTAAGGATAAAATAATTTTAATAATTGCTGGTAAGATAAGTTGGACAATACCAAATATTTAATTACTTTCACACACTACGCATGAATAACTACCTTATTTTCTGGCATGTAAGGCTCACGAGTTTCGGCTGCTTGCTGGCACAATGTTTCCAAGCATTTGTAATGTAATGTTAGTAAGCAACTGCTGAAGTGCAACTCAAAACCTACCCTTGACCCTGACCTTGAGCATATATGGAACAGGGTGATTTTTCGAAGACTTTGTGGGGAGGGTGGAAAGCATGCTTTATATGCTGGAAAATACAGTATGTACTTGAATATATGGGATGTGTGCATCTATGATGGTATTCGGTCAGAATAGTGTGTTGCTGCTTTGAGATAGTCTGAGCATGCTCTAGTTTCTGCATAGCAGACTATAAATGTTAATATTATCTTTAATTGTTCATTGACAAGGCTGTAGAGGGGTGTGAATTGCATGTTTGTGTTCTTAGGAAGTGTGCAAGGTTTCTTCTTAACACTTACCCAGTATTATGTTTTTTTGCCTTTGTTACATTTTTACAGATATTTTCTACATTGACTTAAATCAATCTAGCAAATATTTTCAAAGATAATGCTCATATTTTAGTAAGGAAATTTGGCCCTTAAAAAATGCATGGAACACAAAAGGAGGTATTGAGCATTGAATACCTTGTTGTCACTTCAGCTTGGCCTCCTACCAAAGGTGTATTGCCAATAGAACCATATTATGCAAGTCATAGTATACAGTCATGTAATCACTCGTCTTGTGTCAGTCACACATTTAACTGTCTTAGCTGCAGTAAACAACTGACAGATTAGAAGGATGAACATTTAGCACTTCATTATTGTTTTATTTAGAAGGATAGACTGCAGGATGTTGCCAGGACTTGCTGCTTCAAGACTGGCAGTTAAGTCTCCAGCACTCCTTACATAATTTGTTACCTTCACAAAATGTTGAAGTACTCATTTCATGTTGCTAGCATTACATTATAAATGCATTTGTGAAAGAATGTTACATATTTTTTTTTCAACAAACTGGCCATATCCCACCAAGGCAGGATGACCTAAAACGAAAAACCAAAGTTTTTCTTTTTAAAATTAATGATGTATACAGAAGGGGTTACTAGCTCCTTGCTCCTGGCATTTTAGTTGCCTCTTATGACACGCATGGCTTACAGAGTAAGAATTCTGTTCCGCTTTACCACAGAGATAGGAAATAACAAGAACTAGCAAGAAAATAGAAGAAAACCCAGAGGGGTGTGTTTATATATGCTTGTACATGCATGTGTAGTATGACCTGAGTGTAAGTAGAAGTAGCAAGATGTGACGTGCAAAAATGTTACTTTATTCGGGGTATATACACTCCCATATAGGCTGCCTCCCAACCAGTGAGCCAGTTACTAAGGGTTTAATGGTAAGGGTACTCATTGTTAAATCAGTACCTTGGCTCATTGACCAATCATAAATGAGCCTGCCAAATGCTGAGGTGACGTGGTTCACTCCTAGCCAGCATTTTCCAGACTTGCCTCTAGCTGGTTGAAGCACGCTGCCTTTGTCACCATGTGGTGCACTTATATTCCACTCCTGTACATAGTGTACATCTTTTTTTTTTTTTTTTTTTTTTTTTTTCAACAAGTTGGCCGCCTCCCACCAAGGCAGGGTGACCCAAAAAGAAGGAAAATCCCCAGAGAAAATACTTCATCATTCAACACTTTCACCTCACTCACACATAATCACTGTCTTTGCAGAGGTGCCCAGATACCACAGTTTAGAAGCATATATAAAGATATATAACATATCCCTCCAAACTGCCAATATCCCAAACCCTTCCTTTAAGTGCAGGCATTGTACTTCCCATTTCCAGTACTCAAGTCTGGCTATGTAAAAATCGCCAGTTTCCCTGAATCCCTTCACTAAATATTACCCTGCTCACACTCCAACAACTCGTCAGGTCCCAAAAACCCTTAGTCTCCATTCACTCCTATCTAACACGCTCACACACGCTTGCTGGATGTCCAAGCCCCTCGCCCACAAAACCTCCTTTACCCCCTCCCTCCAACCTTATCGAGGATGACCCCTACCCTGCCTTCCTTCCCCTACAGATTTATACGTTCTCCATGTCATTCTACTTTGATCCATTCTCTCTAAATGACCAAACCACCTCAACAACCCCTCTTCAGCCCTCTGACTAATACTTTTATTAACTCCACACCTGTTAATTTCCACACTCCGAATTCTCTGCATAATATTTACACCACACATTGCCCTTAAACAGGACATCTCCACTGACTCCAGCCACCTCCTCGCTGCAGCATTTACAACCCAAGCTTCACACCCATATAAGAATGTTGGTACCACTATACTTTCATACATTCCCTACTTTGCTTCCATGGATAATGTTTTTTGTCTCCACAAATACCTCGCTGCACCACTCGCCTTTTTTCCTTCATCAATTCCATGATTAACCTCATCCTTCATAAACCCATCCGCCGACACGTCAACTCCCAAATATCTGAAAACATTCACTTCTTCCATACTCCCTCTCTCCAATGTGATATCCAGTTTTTCTTTATCCAAATTGTTTGATACCCTCATCACCTTACTCTTATCTATGTTCACTTTCAACCTTTACACACCCTCCCAAACTCCTCCACCAACATTTGCAACTTTTCTTTAGAATCTCCCATAAGCACATTATCATCAGCAAAAAATAACTGTCACCTCCCATTTTGTACTTATTCCCCATAATTTAATCCCACCCCTCTCCCCAGCACCCTAGCATTTGCTTCTTTCACAACCCCATCTATAAATATATTAAACAACCATGGTGACATTACACATCCTTGCATATTGTTAGGTAAGACACATATGCAACAGTTAGGTATCTTTATTTCGAAACGTTTCGCCTACACAGTAGGCTTCTTCAGTCGAGTACAGAAAAGTTGATAGAAGCAGAAGAGACTTGAAGACGATGTAATCAGTCCATCACCCTTAAAGTTTTGAGGTGGTCAGTCCCTCAGTCTGGAGAAGAGCATTGTTCCGTAGTCTGAAACGTTTCGAAATAAAGATACCTAACTGTTGCACATGTGTCTTACCTAACAACCTGTTGGTATTTTATACCATTTTAATGTTCAATCCTTGCATATAAACCTTTGGTGAAGGAAAATACAAGTTAAATATTCTGCTGAGTTTGTTTTGCTCCAACCCATTAATACCAGGTCAACAGGCCATTATTACCTGTGTTCATAAGACAGACATACCTGAAATCTTGCATATTTGAGACAAAAAAAAAAAAAAAAAAAAAAAAGACCAGCAATCCTACCATCATGTAAAACAATTACATGCTTCTGTTTTACACTCTTGGCAGGACGGTAGTACCTCCCTGGGTGGTGCTGTCTACCAACCTACTACCTAGGAATGTTATGTTTGCAAATTTCAAAAAGAAGCTTTATGCTGGAGAGATCTTAAATTTTTTATTTGCAACTTGTTAGGCATGAGAAAATTTATTGTAGAATGGTAAGATTTATTGAATATGTAGTACAGGAAAAAAAGTCTTAATTTTTTATTTCAACATGTAGGCCGATCTCCTGCTGAGGTAGGGTGACTGACATGTTTAAAAAAAAAATACTAATATAAATTAATATTTTTGACTTTACATTATATTTCCTAGAAAACAATACTTCTGGAGGCATATAGGACATGTTGACTAGCCATACCTATACATGGATATACAGTACTTAGTATACTATAGCTAACACAGGTTGAATATTTTTAATGTAAAATGATTAAATTGTAAGTATTTACTATTTTATTTTTTGCAGCCAATAAAGAATGCTCCACCTGGCAAGAAATACGTTCGCTGCCCATGTAACTGCCTACTGATTTGTAAAAGCTCATCGCAGCGGATAGCTTGTCCGCGACCAAATTGCAAGAGGATTATCAACTTGTCACCTTCCCCAGCAAATCCTTCTTGGCCCACTGTTCCAGGAATGTGTCGTGTTACTTGTGCTCACTGCCATGACACATTCATTGTAAGTGTATTTTACATTTGGTTATATTTATACCTAGGCTAGGTTCCTGTACTGAAATTAAACAAGAGAGTTATTCATGGAAGCAAAAAGGGGAATGTATAAGAGTACAGGGGTATCAACGCTCTTATATGGGTTGTAAATGTTGCAACAGAGAAGGCTGGAGGCAGTGGAGATGTCTTGATGGCAATGTACATTTTTTTTTTTTTTCTACAAGTGTTGAATTAAGTGGGTTGTGAGGGTTTTGGTCCCAGCAGGCCACTAACATAAACATTCTGGTTGACCAGGCAGTTAGTAGGGAAGCCTGGCCTCAGGCTTTCCTGCTAACAGGCCAAAACAAAAAAAATTGGATAATGCTGGAATGAAATTATGAAGGAAGATTTGAGATGTAGGGGCTTGAGCATCCAACTGGCATGCATTTGAGTTGTCGTAGTATGAACAAGGTTGTGGTGGTAAAAAGTGTGCTTGCACTTTTAACAATGGGTGGGTATACCAATGGAACATTTGGATTGTGAACTCTGTGTACAGTTAGAAAGATGAGTGATGATTAATGTGTTTTCCTAATTTGAATTGCTGCCTTTGTGGGATAGATTTGCCTATGAAACTGATTAGTGCATAATTACTGACAGTAATACTTATTTAATAAGAGAATTATTACAGTGGATTCTTTCCTTTCAGTTTAACACACTTAACAACGCTCTTGCCAGATGTCCACATTGTAGAAAAGTGTAAGTATGTGTTGATTATGGATGAAAGCCAGATGGTTAAGTATTTGGTATGCATAATGAATAAGTACTTCGTATTCAGTATGCAAAATAAAATACAGTGCATGCACTCTGAAGGATGGGGTGGGAAAATTTACAATTTTGAACTGTAGTATTGTAGTATTGGTACCCCTCTGGGAAGACAGTGATGGAGTGAATGATGGTGAATTTTTTTGGTGTGTCTCTACCTCGGTGGGAGAAGGCTGGTTTGTTGAAAAAATAAGAAACTGAATAAGAGTAGTTACTAGTTTTAATCCAGGGAAAGGAGGGGATAGCTCTTATTCCTTGGATCAAGGGTCATTCCCCAGCATCGCAACTTCATTGAATGGAAATGTACCTGTAGCATTAACCTCTGAAAGCAGAACAGTTTCATAGATAACTTGGATTCTACAACAATTTCTTGAATGACTAACATGTATGTATGTAGTGTCTTCAAGAATTTTGATGGGAATAGTTTTCTAGTCTTAATTTATGATATTGCTATGCAAGACTAATTCTTCTATTATGCCCTAACAGATCATCCGTTGGTCCAGAATTTGCTCGGTGCCGAGGGATAGTTTTCGTAGTGGTTGCATTGATTTTCCTTGGCATTGGGATTGCCCTTACTGTTACAACTCTACAATACACATCAAATTACCCTGGCATTTATGTAGCATATATTGGTAAGTAAATGCTCTTCCTTAACTTTTTCCCCTTCACTTTTTGCCTATTCATAATGCATGTACCTTTCAGAATATTCCCTAAATTATTACCTTGCTTTTTTAACAAAAATAGGTGCCATTTGTCCTAGGAAATGAGAATAGGTTTATATAAAAAGTTTTTATCAGTATGAGCAAGGAAAGCATAATGAGGATAATGCGAGAGATGTAAGAAATTGTAATAAGGAAACAGTGGCATCAGTCTAAGTAAGAGAAGAATATTAGTGAAAAGCAGACTGAAGTTTATGCACATCAGATAGAAAATTGGTAGACTACAGTGGCAAAAATTGCATCTTAAATAGTCTACTGTGGCTGACATAGTTAAAGCATTCAGCTTGTTTTGATCAGTTTAACCCTTTCAGGGTCAACAGGCCCTCTCCCAGGTTTGTTCTCAGGGTCGACAAATTAAAAAAAAAAAAAAATTTCTTGTGAAAAGATAGAGAATCTTTTCCCGATCATAATGACACCAAAAGTATGAAATTTGATGGAAAACTTATGGAATTATGCTCTCGTGAAGTTAGCGGTCTTGATGTTTACACATCGGCGATTTTGCCCACTTTGAGCCCTATTTTCGGCCAATTCCAGTGTACTAGTCGACAAAAATCATAACTATTTTGCTAGAACTCCATTTTTTCTATCGAATGAGTACAAGAAACTACCCATTTACCAATTTCAATTATCCAATAAAGTGGTCAGAATTTAGCAATTTTGCCAGTTCACACAAATTCAAAAGATGCCAGTTTCCAAATAGGGTCCAGAATAAACAAAGACATTCTTGGCACTAAAATAACATTTCCTCTGTTCATTAGTTACGTCCCCACGCCCCTCTTACATTCTTTTGCTTTCCACTTTGAATTTTTATTCTCACACAAAATAGAAGATTGACTGTTATGCAGACTACTGCATTAGTGTAGAAATGGTATAAATAATATCAGCGCACTTGTGAAAAAATATTGGACGCGTAGCATGATTTGTTTACTTTTGAACTTTGGCAAAAATCGAAGATTTCCGCTACTTTGAGCTCAATTTCAAGGTACTTTTCATTGTAAAACCAATCAAAATCGTCTCAATTTCTGTAATATGTCTTCCATTCTATAAAATGAGACCAGGGAAAACTAGAATACCATCATAAATACCATATGAAAATACAGTGCAAAGTCATTGTTTTAAACCAAAAACACTGTCAAAGTTTTTCTCATTACACACTGTGTGCTGCAGGATTTTTTTTATACTGCACACACTGACCACATAGACCCATTCTTTCATATGTAGGCCCATCAGCTTTCTCTCACTAGATTTGAGGGCGCTAGAATTTAGGTGTACTAGTACATCAAAAACCCTGGTGCGTAAGTCGTACTAGTACGTCAGAAACCCTGAAAGGGTTAATACTCTAGGATTACCTGTTTGGGCATTGCAGTTTTGCACTACTGGGCTGAGAAATTACTGTACTTGAAGATTGAGACACTTAAGCAGCATATGGGAATCTTTATTTAGGAAACGTATCGCCACACAGTGGCTTCATCAGTTCACTACAAAGCAGAAGAGTGTAAGGAGAGGAGTAGTTTGAGGTGATGAGTCTCTCAGTCTCAAACTACTCCTCTCCTTACACCCTTCAGCTTTGTATTGGACTGATGAAGCCACTGTGTGGCAATACGTTTCCTAAATAAAGATTCCAGTATGCTGCATAAGTGTCTCAATCTTCAACTTGTCGGTTTTCAAAACCATTCATCACAAATTACTGTACTTATCTCAGGATACAAAAGTTAGTGTTGAAATATTCAGTTTGCCACCTGACCTCATAAGAATTTCCACCATGTATGTACTAGGGAATTAAATATCAACATGTATGCCCTATGGTTAGATTGCTCATACTGTTATAACCTTTGAGTTAACTATGGATGTTGGAATCTGAATTGTAGATGGATAGACCATTGTCATTAAATGAGCTAATCTTAAAATGAAACAAAACTGAGAATCAGCCAGTCATTTACCTGAAACCTTTGTGTATTTTGTAGAATTACTGTGATTACAGTAGCTGATTGTGATTACCTGGTTGTAGCTACATGAACATTGACATATTCATGGTGTCCTGTCTGTGTTTGACCAATCATTTTTTAAGACATTTGTCCTTTTCTACCGAGGCAGGATAACATTCCTTCTTCCCCACCCCTCTTTCTATCAAAAAAAAAAAAAAAAAAAAAAAAAAAAGGTAATGGTCACCATTACTCACTCTAGCTACCTTTCCAGAGGTGCACAGATATCACAGTTCAAATCTCTATGAAGTGCAACATCCTCACTCATCCTTCAAATTGTAGGATCTGTACTTCCACCTCCAGAACTCAAGTTTGGCTAACGATTGCCTAAATTCCTTGATATATGTTAACCTTGCTCATGCTCCAAAAGCACCTGAAACCCCAAAGTTACGTGGATTCACTTTGATCTGACATACTGTCACATGCTTGTTGAATGCTCAAACTCCTTTCTCTCCATACCTCCTTCCTCTCCATACCTCCTTCACACACCTTCCTGCCCTTTGGAATATTCTGTTTGTCCTTCCATTGACCCTAGATTATATACTCTCTTGGTCAGTATTTCCTTTTCCATCCTTAATGGCCAATCCACCTTAAAAAAAAACTTCCTCAACTCTGAATTACATCTTTCATGCCCACATAAGCATTATTTCTGTGCTGTTTATTCTCTGCATAACATTAATTTTGTACATTGATCTTGAACATCTTCCTTGCTGCAATATTCATTCATTCTTTTTTTTTTTAACACTGGCTGTTTCCCACCAAGGTAGGGTAGCCTGAAAAAGAAAAACTTTCACCGTCATTCACTCCATCACTGTCTTGCCAGACACACACTTACACTACAGTTATAAAACTGCAATACTAACACCCTTCTTTCAGAGTGCAGATACTGTACTTCCCATCTCCAGAACTCAAGTCCAACCTGCCGGTTTCCCTGAATCCCTTCATAAATGTTACCTTGCTTGAACAGCACTTAGTCCTAAAAACCATTTGTCTCCATTCGCTCCTATCTAACACACTTGTGCATGCTTGCTGGAAGTCCAAGCCCCTTGAACACAGAAACCTCCTTTACCCCCTCCCTCCAACCTTTTCTAGGCAGACCCCTACCCCACTTTCCCTCCACTACAGATTTATACACTCTTCGAAGTCATTCTGTTTTGTTCCATCCTCTCTACATGTCCAAACCACCTCAATAACCCCTCCTCAGCCCTCTGGATAATAGTTTTTGTAATCCTGCACCTCCTCCTCCTTTCCAAATTACAAATTCTCTGCATTATATTCACACCATACATTGCCCTCAGAAACATCTCCACTGCCTCCACCCTTCTCCTTGTTGCATCATTCATCACCCATGCTCCACACCCATATAAGAGCATTGATATAACTATTCTCATACATTCCCCTCTTTGCTTCCATGGACAAAGTTCTTGGTCTCCACAGACTCCTCAGTGCACCACTCGCCTTATTTGCCTTGTCAGTTCTATGATTCACCTCGTCTTTCATAGACCCATCTGCTGACATGTCCACTCCTAAATATTTGAATACGTTCATTTCCTCCATACTCTCTCCCTCCAATCTGATATTACCTAATTTTTTTTTGTTATCCTCATCAACTTACTCTTTCCTATATTCATTTTTAAATTTCTTCTTTTACCTACCCTACCAAACTCATCCACCAACCTCTACAACTTCTCTTCAGAATCTCCCAAAAGCAGTGTCATTAACAAAGAGCAACTGTGGCAACTCCCACTTTGTGTTAGATTCTTTCTTTTAAGCCCCCCACCTCTTGCCAACACCCGAGCATTCACTTCTCTTACAACCCCATCCATAAATATATTGAACAACCATGGTGACATCACACATCCTTGCCTAAGGCCTACTTTTACTGGGAAAATAATCTCCCTCTCTCCTACATAGTTTCCTCACTGTCCTAGTGAAAACTCTTCACTGCTTTCAGTAACCTATGTCCTGTTCCATACATTTGCAACATCTGCCACATTGCCCCCCTATCCACCCTGTCATATGCCTTTTTCAAATCCATAAATACCACAAAAACCTCTTTACCCCTTATCTAAATACTGTTCATCTATATGTTTCACTGTAAGTACTTGGTCTGCACACCCCTTACCCTTCCTAAAGCCTCCTTGTTCATCTGCTATCCTACTCTCTGTCCTATTCTTAATTTTTTCAATAATAACTCTACCATATGCTTTACCAGGTATACTCAACAGACTTCTTCCCCTATAATTTTTTTTTTTTTTTTTTTTTTTTTTTTTTTTTTTTTTTTTTTTTTTTTTTGCCTTTTATACAAAGAAGCTATGCATGCTCTCTGCCAGTCCCTAGGTACCTTAACCTCTTCTATACCTTTATTAAATAAAAGTGCCAGCCATTCCAAAACTGTTTCTTCACCTGCTTTTAACATTTGTCTTTATCTCGTCAATCTCAGCTGCCTTACCCCTTTTCATTCTACCCACTACCTCACAAATGTCCCCCCCACTCAACAACTGGCTCTTCCTCACTCCTACAAGATGTTATTCCTCTTTGCCCTATTCATGAAATCACAGCTTCCCTATTTTCATCATCCAGCTCACTCCCTCATTTCCTCTCTTTTACATTGCTTCACCACATTCATACTGTAGGTAATTGCATTGCACAGTATGACAGTGCTTTTATCTTAGTTTGGAATTTTTATATCTGAATTAAAATACTAGCTATTTGTTACCCAGTAAGTGCATGATTATAAAACAGTTTTTGCTTATTGAATGACTTCAAGAGTGTATAAATCTGTAGTGGAGGGAAGGCAGGGTAGGGGTCGGCTTGGAAAAGGTTGGAGGGAGGGGGTAAAGGTGGTTTTGTGTGTGAGGGGCTTGGACTTCCAGCAAGCACGCATGAGCGTGTTTGATAGGAGTGAATGGGGACAAATGGTTTTTAGGACTTCATGTGCTGTTGGAATGTGAGCAGGTAACACTTATGAAGAGATTCAGGGAAACCGGCAGGCCGGACTTGAGTCCTGGGAGATGGGAAGTACAGTGTCTGTACACTGAAGGAGGGGTGTTAATGTTGCAGTTTTATAACTGTAGTGTAAGCTTGCCTCTAGCAAGACAGTGATGGAGTGAATGATGAGAGTTTCTCTTTTTTGGGCCACCCTGCCTTGATGAGAGATGGCTGATGCGTTAAAAAAAAATTAATAAATATATTGCCCATGTGCATTCCAGAAGATATTAGCAATGTCATCTGTTAAAGTAGGGTACAGTATATACTCAACTGACATTGATTACAAACCACTGTAGGCTGTGTTAATTTAAATGGAATGATTGTCATATCTGAAGCTCTGGTCATGTCATTCATATTGCGAAGGCTTGTTTTATTTTTTAAAATGCTTACTCTTAAATATTTTCCCACAGTCTTTTATCAAATTTAAGTTACTTTTGCCCTCCCCTCTTTCATTACCCAGAAAAGAATGTTAAAATACTGTCCTTCATTATGTACAATAGAAATGCTTTATTAAATGATGAAATCTTTGTCAAGGGAGTTCATAGTGGAATAATTGCATCCAAAGCAGTTGAGGATTTAATGAAACTTGGTTAGACCCCAGTCTGTTTAGCTGGAGGTGGTAAGTAAGGAGCCTGCACTCTGAGAGAGGGTTGGGGATGTAGTTCAGAGGGTCATCTGAATTGTGATGTCAGCACACTTCTGAGATGACAGCGTTTGAATGAAAGGTGATGGTATTTCTTCTTTATTGGGTCACCCTACCTTGGTGGGAGATGGCCAGTGTTAAAAAATTAACATTATTACTTTTGTTATTGGCATAATGTCTCCAATGTTAATTGTTGTTTCTCATCTTTTCAGTGGCCTTCCTCATCTCTCTTTTTCTCTTCTACCGAACAGTGTTCTACTGCTCCATGAAGATCAGTCTTATTGAAGGGCCATTATAAGTTTCAAAGGCAAGAACTATTTCTTCATTAGGCTGGTACCTTCTTGTTTTGTTATAAATTTTCAGATGGTTAGTAGGTTTAATGGAACATAATAGATTTGTGACTTCCCTTCATGCTAATGAAGCTATGGTGTGAGATGAATGTATGTCATTGTCTGACTGACCATCTGATTTGTATGGACGATTGGTGATTTTGATCATTTTGTAACTTTTTTACTTATTGGTTAGTTTTAATTAAAATCTTTGGGCTATTGTAATATTTTTGTATGTTTACACTTCTGTATATCTATGAATAAATTAGCTACAGTTGGTTTTTATGATCATTTTTACCAGTCATATAAAGTATTAATCTTTTTACACCTATATAACAATTTTATATTGTATTTCATGTCCTTTATACTGAATTTTATCAGTTCTTAGGAGTCAGAATTATGCCACATGTATAAATAATCATAAAAATTTATATTACGGCTCCTCGAGAATAAATTTGAATACTACTTTTCAAAGTAATTTAATTTATGGTCGCTGTCCATCAGTTTAGTTGGAATAGTGTAGTCATCTTTCACTTGCTACAAATATTGCTATGTAAGTTAGTGTGATGATTTTTTTACATTCTAAATTGTCTTTGGGCTCAATGTTTGCTCTGTTGAACATGTAACAGTCTTGTTTTCAATAAGGATGGGTCATCACTTCTAGGTTTTTAATTTGCATTAATAGCTATTGTTCACATATACGAGTTATATAAATATCTTACCTATATTAAGGACCCATTAATTCCTACAGTTTAAGTGGACAATTGTCAGGATGCTTGTGGTATCTTGAGGAATTATGTTATCAATATTAGTAGGTTTTCAAGTCATTGTAGTTTAATTTAAGCATAGAAACCTGTGATAAGCAAATGATCTTAGGAATCTGTCCTCTGTGTACTGTAATACTATTATGCTCACATGGTACTGAATTCTTAAGTATTCTTGAAAGCTGCAGTTTGTTAGGATTGTAAGATAACCCAGTATGTTTATTTTTTTTATATATATATTTATAAAATATTGATGAGGGAGTTAGTTTTGTTGGCTGCAGTCAAGTTTAAGAATTCAAATCTTTGTATCTTTATATTATTCGCAGCTTTTATTAGGTTTGATTCTTAGATGTACCGATCCTGTCAAATAGTCATCCAAAGTAAGCCTCATCAACTGCTGTATTTGGCTTTACTGATTTTCTGTTAAATTGTACATTAAAATTATCTTCCTTGGGAAGTGTAAAAGTATGATATAAACTACTTTTGAATAAATATGATTTTTGCTTCAAATTTTTGAATGGAACAAAAAAAAAAATGAGGTATAATCAGTGGGATTAAAAAGCTTTAGAAATAAGGATGTATAATTTAATAATAAAATATGATATGGGATTACTATCTAAGGACCAATTTTATACACCGGTTTTTTTCCTTAGTGTTATTGTATCTTAAAGGGGTGGTCTCAAGGTACTTGCAACTTTGTAATTTATTCGTCAGTTTTGCTTATACTTTCTTCGCTTTGTAAGGGGCTATAAATTTCCATGAGCATATTATTTCATTTGGACCTGAGCGATAGATTTTGGATATTTATATTTTTTTCAGAATAGTGAGCTCATGATAACCATTTTAGAGGCATTAAGCAAACACGATTCGTATGGATATATCCCCCAATATTACGAGAAAACAACATTCGATATCTTACCGTAACTTGGGGGAGGGGGAAATGTGCACGTTCTCATTACCCAGGATAAAAATAGGTTTCACGAATTATCATTTACATTTACTGCAAATTTTATTATATCTATTTAGGACAAAAATAAAAAATGTTTTTGAAAAAACTAAGTGCTCTATAAATAATCTTGTCCATATAAACTGCTGTAAATTCATTATGTTGGGGTGGGAATTTTTTTGAGGGGTGTCAACTATTGCAAAATCCTTCCAGATTTGAAAGATTATGGTTCTGCTCACTGTTGCCCACTAGCTTTATGGCTGAACCTGGCATAATGTCAGTATATAGAATGCTATACATAACCTAGAGAGATAGTTTAGTAGTGTGGATGTGGGTAAAAAAAAAAAGGGGGGGGGGGAGGGAATGCTCAGTTCCCTCTGACCTAGACAACTTAGTAGTTCCCCAGAGGTTTTAAGGATGAGATTAGCATAAATATTCTTAAAATTTCTTATTTTGTAATTCTTGCAATTTTTGGATTTTTTTTTTCTTAAATTTTATAATGTTTTAAGCTTGGCCCATATAGGCATGAAATATACACACCCTGCAAAACTAAATTCTAACTAGGTGCATTCACTGTATGAGTAATAGTAAGTGATAAGTTATACAGTATATACATCCTTGCTACCCATGGAAAACTGGATTTCGTAAGTTTTGGTTCACTGTGTACTGGACATCATTTTACAGATGTAGTGTCTAGTAGAAAAGATTGGCATTAAAATATTTGTAATAATCACACTAAATTTTTACATTTTTAATCCACCAACACCCTTGAGACTATCCCTTTAACATGTAAATCTGTTCAGTTAAATCAATTTAATTTGGATACATTAGGATTAAGGCATTCAACTACACAAGCATTCTTAATATGAATTTGGGTAGGATTCAACCTGGAATTGAGTGACATGTAATTCGGATAGTGACCTCCATAGATTATTCAAATTGCCCACCTCACAGCAAGTGGTGCCCCAAGCTGCCTCTTACCATAAGCCACAGGAAATTGTCCACTAGATGAGATTTTTCCTACAAAACAAATGTTTTCCAAATTTTATTTAACTTTGGAATATTTAATTGATATAAAACATTTGTATGGAAAGTTTGAAGAGAATATTCAATGCAGTATAGGTACAGCTATACATATGGGAACAGGTACACTCACAGATACAAAAACATGTACACTTGCAGGTACATGACAAAGCAAGGAAGAGACAGGAAAGTGTCCTGAGATGACCACCAGAATATGATGCATGTACATTATCATGATTATACTGCATGTACATTATCACAGTTATACTGTATTTGCATATTCCTGTGCCTTTGAAGGTCATATACTCTAGCTGTATTTCTGCAGTTACTGAACATGTTGGTATTGATAAATGTTTAAAAGTTACTTAAAGGAAAAAATTGAACAGTAAAGGTATGATCTTGAAAGAGGTGCAGTGATGACAGATTTGTTTGGGATGTATAGGACCACTATGGCTAGCAGTATATGAGCCATGAGAGCCCTCCACACCAATGGGAGCAGGGCTCGCACAACATGGCTGTATAATTAAACAAAAACCACCTGCCACAAGTTTATTACACTGTTGCATTTCTTTTCACTCTCCAATACCTTTAGTATATATTTGTTTAGCATAGGTGTGGCGAGTTCCTGTATGCTTGGTACATTTTGGTAAGAGACTTAACTTTTACTAGTGTAAACATGTTGATAGTTGATGTGGCTTTACATGTGGTAGGCACCATCAACCCACTACACTTCATATCAATAATCACACAAACACAGTGTTTGTAGTTCATTAAGCAAAAAATACATTCAGTGAATCACATTTTCCCACAGAAACCCATGTTATAATTTGTAATGGGGAGACGAAGAAAGTAATACAGTGGACCCTCGACCAACGATGGCATCGACTAACGTTAAATCCGACCAGCGATACATTTTAACGCAAAAATTTTGCCTCAACTAGTGCTAAAAAACTCGACCAACACTATTCGTTCCGTCTGAGACGCGTCCACTTCTGGCCAGTGTTTACAAGCCAGCCAGCCACCGCGGTCGCTTCCAAGCATATAATCGGAACATTTCATATTATCACAGCCTTTTTAGTGATTGCACCTGCAAAATAAGTCACCATGGGCCCCAAGAAAGCTTCTAGTGCCAACCCTACAGCAAAAAGGGTGAGAATTACTATGGATATGAAGAGAGAGATCATTGCTAAGTATGAAAGTGGAGTGCGTGTCTCCAAGCTGGCCAGGTTGTACACAAAACCCCAATCAACCATCGCTACTATTGTGGCCAAGAAAACGGCAATCAAGAAAGCTGTTCTTACCAAAGGTGCAACTATGTTTTCGAAACTGAGATCGCAAGTGATAGAAGATGTTGAGAGACTGTTATTGGTGTGGATAACGGATAGCAGGAGAGAGCATCTCTCAAGCGATCATATGTGAAAAGGCTAGTAAGTTGCATGAGGATTTAATTAGAAAAATGCCAGCAACTAGTGGTGATGTGAGTGAATTAAAGGCCAGCAAAGGTTAGTTTGAGAGATTTAAGAATCGTAGTGGCATACATAGTGTGATAAGGCATGGTGAGGCTGCCAGTTTGGACCAAAAAGCAGCTGAAAAATATGTGCAGGAATTCAAGGAGTACATAGACAGTGAAGAACTGAAACCTGAACAAAAGTGTTTAATTGTGACACTGACAATGTTGTGAAACACTTTAGGAATGTCATAAAGGAACGGGAGGTACAGACCTCTATGGACAGATATGTTGTGCGACAGAGGTCCAGTGGCTCTCAAGCTGGTCCTAGTGGCATTAAAAGAAGGGAAGTAACCCCGAAAAAGGACTTGCTTAAGTCCTAATGGAAGGGGATTCCCCTTCTAAACACTAACACCATCAACACTCTCCCCTCCTCCCATCCCATCAATCATCACCAGATCTTCAATAAAGGCAAGTGTCATGTAATTGTGCATGTCTTCTTCAGTTTGTGTGTATTAAAATTAATATTTCATGTGGTAATTTTTTTTTTTTTCAATACTTTTGGGTGTCTTGCACGGATTAATTTGATTTCCATTATTTCTTGTGGGTAAAATTAACTCGACTAACGATAATTTCGATTAACGATGAGTCCTCAGGAATGGATTAATATCGCTGGTCGAGGGTCCATTGTATACTGTATCTCATTCCCATCTTGTTTTTAAATGAAATTTAAAAAATATTTACTCAAATTAAGTCTGTTGTTTAGTAGATAGTGTTATACCCCCATTTCATGAGTGCTCAGTGCAAAAATTATGAAAGAATTATTAAAGTATTGAGAATAGTCAGGTTACATCATCTTGTGTTTTTGTTGTTAGATTAAAGGGTTGAGATGACTCCTAGGTTGTTTATTATTGGGTTAATGGGTTGCGAGGCTCCCTGGGTCATTGCAACTTTTGAACCCAAGTTGCAGCTGTCAACAACCTTTGGTTCTTCAACACAGGTTCCTTGGTGCTAATTAGGGGTCTTTTGAGTCAAGGAATTGGAATTTTCTTCCTAATCCTTGGATCAAACCTGATTGCCTTCCATTCCCCCAGGTACTGAATGACCCCTTCAGGTTTAGTGCTTCCTCTAAATAATAATAAGGAACAGCTCCAGGGTTGTCACAACTCTTCAGTATAACAAAAATGGGTGACATAGCTTTATTACTTTTCTCAATATTTTGATCTTTTTTTTTTTTCATATCTTTTTGATACTTCTCAGCTTGCATTCACCACTATTTGAACTGATGATACAAAGGTACAGTATGGAAAACATTGTTATTGGTAGAATTCTCGCTGACATGACCACAACCTGTGAATCTGGATCGTCAGTGATGGTGAAAATGTTTCTTTTTCGGATCACCCTGCTTTGGTGGGAGACAGTCAGTGTATTAAAAAAAAAAAATTGATAAAAAATATGAAAACTGTGTTAGACTGCTGATGAAGGAAATGGTTGATTTAGTTCCAGCTATGGAGATCTCTCTCTTTTTCTATTTTTCTCTTTCTCTCTTGGGGTGACAGTGGTGATCCCTAACTGGAATTTCAGCCCTTCCATAACCACCCCCACATAAAAATTATAATGGACCTCTTAAGTCCCTTAGTTTCCCTTAGACACCCTTATGTTCCTTTGTATAGAAATTCTGAAGCTATCACTGGAGTGTGATAAACATCTGGTTGTATGAGCGGGAGCAGTTGAGAAGAGATGGCAGTAGACAGTCTGGAATCTAGTTGCATGAGCAGGTGGTGGTCATCATTAAACTGGGAAAGAGGCTTTGATTTTTTTTTTTTTTTTTTGGGGGGGGGAGGGGGAGGATTAATCAGAATTAAATAAAGCAAAATCACTAAGAGTGGTCCAGTGTACAATTATGTTTAAGCTGAATTATAAATGCTATGCTGCATAATTATTTTTCTCCTTAAGTATTTTACTAAATGTATTGATATCTTGTGCATGTTTATTTTAAGCATGCATGGAGAGTTCGTATTTAATTGGTAGAGACTGGTCGAGAACGGTATATTTAATTGTAATTTTGCTAAAGTCACTCGAGCTATGAATTCTATAAAGTATTGTGTTTTCTGTTATTTTTTCACTCTTGATTCAGACTTGGAGCTAGCTTACCTTTCCTTTAGTCAAATCTGATTGCCTCTCATTCCCCAAGGCACTGTATAACCCTTGTGGACTTAGCACTCTCCCATGAAATACCTGTAAAATAATTTGTGTGTATTTGCCTTTTGCATGTGTAGTGGGCTCACAATTGTTTGGTAAGAGATTGATCAAGTGCTATAGACTGACATTTTTGGGGGAAGGGGAAGCAGCTGGCTGCATCCAATACACAATTGATGTTCATTAGTTCAGCTGGCTTACACTACAACTCCTTTTCCAAACACACACCCAGGCATGCAGTTGCCTACCTTCACTACTCTATCCCATACCATATGTCCAGGCATCAAATGCCTTTGCCATAAGTGAGGATGAAGAGCATATGTAAAGAATGTCAGATACAAAGGGAGAGGGGGGAGGGTGTTATGTTAATGCCACTGCCATGTTTGATATGATGCGAGAGTGGAGGAAGAGTCAGTCAGTCCTGTTACCACTGCCTGTGATGTATTGTGCCAGATATAATGTGAGGAGCCTGGTCTAAGACTGGGCTCTGGGGGCATTGACTCCTTGTAACACT